GCACCATCGTGACTCTTCATACACTGAAACAGTCAATGTTAAAATGCACCAAGATTTGGACAGTATCTAAACTTGGCCTGACAAGTGGCAAGTAACAAATGCCAGGTAATTCACGTCTCTAATAGGAGACAATCTAATCACTGCCCCTTAATATTCAATGGTGTTATCATCATGGAATCTCCCTCTATCATCCTGGGGGTTACCATTGACTGGAAACGCACCTGGACTCACCACATAAACAATGCCTACAAGAGCAGGTGCAAGACTAGGAATACTGTGATGAGCAACTCACCACCTGACTCCCCAAAGCCTGTCCATCATCTCTGAGGTACAAGACAGGATTGTGATGGAATGCTCCCAACTTGCCTGAATGGATGCAGCTCCACTAATACTCTAGAAGATTGCCATTCAGGACAAAACAGCCTGTTTGATGTCATGTCACATCACATCCACTCCCAACACCACCGATTGTATAGCAGCAGCATTGTGTACTGTACACACGATGCACTGCATAAATTCATCAAAGATTAAAGTTTTGGCAAAGATCTGGGATAAGATAACCATAGTAGCCCAAGCCAAACATAGACACGCACAGAAATTCCTAGAGGCATAGTTCTCTGCCCATGCTTCAATCAACAAACATGTAGAATTGGACCCCATGTACAAACCCATACAGATCAAAACCGGAAATGACAGTACTTGCCATAACGGACCGAACAGAGAAATTCCAAGCGGAGTAGAATAACATGGCTTCATTGGAGGCTGCACTGATGGTCACCTAGTATGGTGACGAAATGTTTGAACAAAACCAAGCCAGTTGGGCGAGCAAGTCAACAACCTCATTCACCAAACATCCTCAGACAGCACCTTCCAACCTCTCAGCCACTTCTTCTACCTAGAACATTAAGGGCAGTAGATACATGGGAAACCTGCAAGTTCTCCTGTAAGCAACTCACCATCCTGACTTGGAAATATATTGCTGTTCCTTCAATGTTGCTCAGTTGAAATTCTGGAATTCTCTCCTGAATGGCATTATGGGTCTATCTAAAGCACATGGACTGCAGCAGTTTTAGAAGGCAGCTCACGACCACCTTCTCGAGGGTAACTAAGGCAATAAATGCTAGCCAGCAGCAACACCCACATCACAATTTCAAAAAAAAAAATCAATAAGGGAACCTAGGCTTATAGGAGAAAGGAAGAAGGTGAAATTGAGGATGCTTAGGTCAACCCTTTCTCAACGAATTGAGCAGCACATCGATGGGCTGAGAGGTCTTTCCTCTAATGTTGAAATTGGATCTTCATACATAAAGAAATCAATCATAAGACCAAAGAAAACAAGGACAGGAGTGCAGGACGTTTGGACCCTTGAGTCTGCTTTGACATTTAATAGGATCATTGCTGATCTGAAACTCCTCATGGCCACTTTCTTGCTGTTTCCCTATAATGCCTGTTTTGCCTGCTAATCAAGACTATGAGCTTTAAATATGCACAAGGCCTCTGCGCACAAAGCTTTTTGTGACCAGGAGTTTCAAAGACACTCAACTGTCAGAAGAAATTCCTCATCTCAGTCTTCAATGGCTGCCTCTTTTTATTCTGAGACTATGCCCTCTGGTCTTAGCCCCATGGGGGGAAGCATCCTCTCAGCATTTACCCTATGTTTCAATGAGATCACCTCTCATTCCTATAATCTCCAGCAAGTAGAATCCAACCTGTTTTAGCCTTTGCTCCTAAGACAATCCCTCCCTCAAGGGATAATCCTAGTGAACCTTCTCTGAGCTGCCTCCAATGAAATGATATCCTTCCCTTAAATAAAGGGACCAAAATTGCTCTCACTACTCCAGATGTGGTCTCTCCAGCACCACCTATGGTTGCAGTAAGACTTCCCATTTTCATACTTCAACCCCATTGAAAAAGGGCCAGCATTCCATTAGCCACCTTGATTACAAAATATTTCAGGCAGCTAAAACCTATCTGAAAAGGTCAGAATACAGGGCTGGAAATTTGTTGCAAATTACAGTAATTTTGGCATACTGCATTCAATTCCGGTCATGGTATCTCAAAGGAATTATTGGCCTTGCAGGACGTGTGGCACACACATCACAATGATACTGATATTGACCCTTTTAGTCACAAATGTATAAATTTACTTGAATTTTCTTTTTATGGGCATAGTACGGATATAGATTTGCACTGTATATTCCCTAACTAGGCAAATCGGTCACTTGAAAATCAATTGCTGATGTACAGAATGTGCAGCTAGATAGTTTGAAGCAATTGAATTATTTTGGGTAGGTGGGTAATAATTAATATTGAGATTCAAACCACCATTACTGATTAAGTTATTTATTCAGGCAGTTATTTTAAATAATATAGTCTGTGTTAATTGAAGAAAATGGACTTTTTAAAACTTGTGACTGCTGCAAGTCATCCAAGAATGATTTAATATGAACATTTGACTGACTTATAGTTTTAAGATGGAGTTCACCAGAAAAATCATGGTATCCAAATCGGGATATTGGAAACTTTAAAAGTTCTACTTGTACCAAATTTTAAAAATACTTTCAAATTCATAGTACTGTAGTTTTACAAAGCTATTTTGGTGAGTAAATAGTGATTATAAAATAAATGTTTCTTGCAAAGTAAGTAGAAGTACCAGATCTCCCCCTCCAAATAGTGCGGCAGACGAAAATCTGAAATAAAGGTTTCCACGTTGGTGCCTCGAACTTCTGCACTGTGTTCCTCAACTGTGTGTACTTGCCTCCCTCCCACTGTCCAAAGTTGGCGGCACGGTACACAGTGAAGAATGATTTCTAAGATTATAAAGGGATCTTGATCAAACAGGTCAATGGGCTGAAAAATGGCAGATGGAGTTTTATTTGGTTAAATGAGAGGTATTATATTTGGCTATTAAGAGATTAAAAAAGGACTGACTTGCAGAAAATTTAAGCAAGGGAGGAAATGTTCCAAAAGAAAGCTTAAAACTTTGGATGCATTTCCACAACACCAATATGCTTCTCTATTTTCCTATGGTAAAAGGATTCTCTCCTTTTTGAGGTCTATTTATCTACACAGTACAATTTCAGTGCATTAAAGTTTATAAGCAACAAGCGCAGGAACCGACTTACTAACATACACTTGGACTGGCTGCTTGTAGCAGCACTGCTTCAAGACAGCCAACAAACAAAAATAAAATGCAAAAATCTTATGGGTAGAACCTATCAATATTAATACAAGACATGATAGAAAAATAAAGCAATGGAGTGACTTTGGTAGTTTCTGATGTCAAGAGAAACAAGTTGGTTTTGAGTCTCATTACTCTTTGGAAATGAATTGGGCTGGAGGATGATAGCATTTGGGCTGGAGGATGATAGCATTTG